GCAACCAGGCACTCAGAACCTATTAACACAAATGATTCCTTACCCAGCTAGAGACAGAGAGAGAGAGAGATGTAAATCTATACAGTCCTTAACTGAATTTATACTGAGTTTGAAGGAGCCCTGTCCCACAACTGCAATCAAAATAAACAACTTATATTGGTTAATGATTAGACATTTTGGAGGAAGAAAAAAAAATACAACCTTCTACATCTGACTCCAGGTTGTTCCCGTCGACCACAATCTTGGGGGAAGGCTTAACCTCTAGATTTCGCCTGAGCCATGTCGTCTGTTCCAGGGACGAGCCAGCAATGGCTCCAATGGCATCCACTATTTTGTGAGTTACATCCTGATAAAGAGAGAAAAAACAAACAGGAAAAATGTTATGGCATATAAAGAAAGATTACTGTATTATATTGCTATTACATACACATGCAGAGACACACTCCACTCTCCCTCTCTCTTTGCATTTTGTATTTCTATATGATAGCAACGAAGAGCATAAATAAAGTAATGACATTACAGGAGCCACTGCAAGGACAAATTGATTGCATTTGCAGCCCTTCACACCAAACAGGACAAAGTTACTGATTCAAATAAGAAAAGCTTGAAATGATGTAAGTAAAGGATCTCTTGAGAAATTAAATGTACAAGAATCTCATAAACTTCATCAAAACTCAGACAGGGATCCACTGAATTTCATTTGTTGCAATTAACGTTGAATCAGGACACTACTAGGGTTGCTAACTTATTTATTTGACATCCCATATTTCTACCTGTTCAAAACCAAAATTTTACAGCTAAAAACACATTAATACAACGGGACATCATTATAAAAATAAAACCAGTGGTTTCAGAAAGCAACTTATACCTCACAAATCAATACACTATAATAGGACTTCTACTCTTTTTTTAAGTACTAAAATACTCAAATGGTAATGAATAGTACAAATTTCTTACCTGAAGATCTCTCTGGTCCTTCTTATTATCTAAATTGGGATTTTTCATAATGAACTCGTTTAAAACTCTTTGAAAACAAGAACAACAAGAGGAAAACATTCATATATCTTTTTTAAAAAAAGAAAATAATGAAACCAAATCCTTGTTGGGCCAAAAACAGTTAAAGTAGAAGGCACAAGGCCTTCCCGTCTGTAAACTGGATCGTGTCCAACCTCCTGTTCTGACTGCAGCTCACATGGCATACTGGAGGCAATCCCAAATGCAATGTTTAGAGGGAGGGTAATAGGAGGAAGAGGCCTTAACAAGAGGAGGAGGCCTCAGGGAGCAGCAGGGATGTGGCGAGTCAACTCCTCTGTGAGTTCCACTGATTCACAATGTTTAGAGAGAGGGTAATAGGAGGAAGAGGTCTTAACAAGAGGAGGGGGGGGCTCAGGGAGCAGCAGGGATGTGGTGAGCCAACTCCTCTGTGAGTTCCACTGATTCAATGGATCTACTCTAGTTTCTACTTACTACTGGGTTTCAGCCATTATTTCCTTTAATTTTCCAAGAGGTAGCTGTGTTAGTCTGGCTCAGCATAATATAAGAGGGAGAAAAAGACTTGTGGCACATTTAAGGTGAAGCGTTTCAGTTTGTTTGCTATAAGGAGTGCAGGGATTGAGGCTGCTTGCTTACTTCAAGCTTTTGATGGATCTACTCTAGTTTCTACTTACTACTGGGTTTCAGCCATTATTTCCTTTAATTTTCCAAGAGGTAGCTGTGTTAGTCTGGCTCAGCATAATATAAGAGGGAGAAAAAGACTTGTGGCACATTTAAGGTGAAGCGTTTCAGTTTGTTTGCTATAAGGAGTGCAGGGATTGAGGCTGCTTGCTTACTTCAAGCTTTTGAAATCTGAGTGAGTTTCAGTTTGTTTGCTATAAGTAGTGCAGGGATTGAGGCTGCTTGCTTACCTCAAGCTTTTGAAATCTGAGTATACTAGACTTGTGTGTGTGTGTGTGTTTGTACACATTTTTCAAACTAAACAAGCCATTCTGGAAATATGCCTTCCCGGCGGTTGTAATGCCCTACTGGGTGAGAATCACTCGTTTTAGCCATAAAGTTTAAACTGATCATGTCTGAGACTGAAAGGGGAGAAATCTAAAATGATGCAAGCTGGTTTTACTAACGAATCTGGTTGCGTTTTGAACATCATCCAGCAAGGTTAAAAAAAAAACCTTCCAGAGGCAAAAGTACTGCACATGGCCATCTTTAAATCTTGCAATCCCACCTCGTTCTTTTATTTTCATTGTTATTTTACAGGAGGGGGGAATCCTCATGCACCCTCTAGTGGGGTCAGGAAGCAATTTTTTATTTTTTGCTATTCCTGAGTACTAAGTAATTTCTGATGTTGAAAACATACACTCCCAGACTAAAACAGCTGGCGATGGAACACAGCTAAGTTGTCCACCTCCCCTCAGTGGACAGGAGCCCATTTCACCAAAAATATGCATTAAAAAAAGAGGAGTGCAGAGTTGCAATGTGTGTGCATTCTGGCCCCTGGGAGGCCAAATGTGGGCCTGCAATTATATTTTGCTTCACTCTCCATGAAAGAGCACATTAAAGTGTCCTCTGCACCAGATACTGCACAAATATTCACCACCACAAGGAAAAACATGAATAAATGTTTGTATCAGAAGACAGAACTGTTGTTTTATTTGGGCCAATGCATTCTGATGGAAGTGCTATCACTCACATACTCTTTCTGCTAATGATGGTTCTGTTTTGATAAAAATTACTAGTCCCTTAAAAAAAGTCTTGCTACAAACACACAGTGCTCTCTAATAAATATTTCTCACATTATTTGTTTATGCTGCAAACACACAGTACTCTCACATCATATAGAATTTCCCCACCTTTTGTCACTTTATGCAGACGTTTAAACTCTTTCAATGAAATTCATGGGGGACTGAGCACTGCTTGAATACAGTAGGGCAGCGAGCCCCTGCTCATTTCCCATCACATAAAGGCTATCAATCACAGGGGCTGAAGGGAACATGACATTGGCTGGATTTCCAGCTCTGATCTGAAGGCCCCGATACTTTTGCCAAAATGTGAAATTGGCAACATGCTCACCAAAATTTAAAAAAGCATTTTCCCTAAAAAATCGCGATGGGTAGATGTTCCAAGAAATGTATTCTGGTGTTCGAAAAAATCATGGCAGTTTTCAAAAGGAAACATCAGCAGTGCTCATGGAAGCAAAATGACTCACCCAAGAATCAGAAACTGCCCTGGCGCTGGGAGGCCAAGTTGTATGGAATCCTTCAAGAGAAGCAATAGCGAAGCCCAGCTGTCAACTATGTTGGACACCGGGATTCTGTAAGAAATAAGAGAGACCCATGAGTGCACCCGAAATCTTTTCATTGTCACACTTCTTCATACAGAAGAGCAGTGTCCAACCAGTGAGATTACACTATACTAGTGATGGTGAACCTTTTCAGGCCCAAGTGCCCAAACTGAAAAACCAGACAATCAACCAACCCAGTGGGTGGTGGCGGAAGTGGCAGAGGAAGAGGGAATCCCAGGCACGGAGGTGCCTCAAGACCCCACTCTGGATCCACCACCAGCACCAGCACCTCTGGATCTTGGATCACCGCCTGTCGGGGCACCAGCACCACGGTTGCAGCCCCCTCCTCAGGTTTGGCTGCGGGGGGGGGGAGTAGTGATCCGGCGACTTACGGCTCACATGCCCACAGAGAGGGCTCTTCATGCCAGCTGTGGCACACATGCCATAGGTTCGCCATCACTGCCCTATAGCCTAAAATTCCCAGCTTTTCTTATTCAATGGCTCAACAGGTAAATTGTAGAGATAACATGCAGAACTCTGGAAATGTGACACCAAGATTAGGAGACAAATTCTGCCAGTTTTCAAAGTGGAGGGTATGTAATTTTGTGGAAAATGAAATTAGATTTAAACTCCCTCCCAAATACTTTAAACCCATTTCTGAAAACCACTCAATTTTAATGCACTGTTGCACACTCATGACCTTGTAAATGCAGCTTACCTGATAACACTAAAATAGATTTTAATAATCATAATATCCCAATCTTACCTCTGAATGTATGCAAAAAAGAACTGCAACATGCAGACTTCCAGGGAAAGGTGCTTCTAGAAGGAACATTATAAAAGTATAATGTCAAAGAGAGAACAATTATTTTTCCCAGTGTCTAAAGGTGAATGCCTATTCAGAAATCAAAAGATCAATTCAAATTCTGCTGAAATTAAGATGATCACTTAGCAGCAGAATTTCAGGGAGTGATAAAGTCACCTGGCAAAATGGTTTTCTCTCTGTGTTCTCTATAGCTTCACTTCTGAAATGAAGCCTGAAATACTAGTTATGGGTGTCTGTATTACAGATCCAGAGAAGCGAGCTTGTCAAAAGGTTGCCTTTACTCCTAGCATTCAAGATAAAGAGGCAACCGGGAGTTGATATCCATTGACAAGAGGGAGCCTTCACTGAACAATGGAAGTGCTCCTACCTGAGTTTTGATATTTTTAAAATTCAGAGCTGCCATCCATTTTCATTCCAACCACTCAAACGCCAATAAGGTCGTACTCAGACTTGGCTCTCTGGACTACATTTAAGGAATCCAAGCCAACGGATCAACGTAGATACACATAAAGCAGCCTCAGCAGTGTGACTATTTTTTAAAGAAACATCTAATCTACAAATCTCCATTAAGACAGAGTAAGTTTCCCTTACTGGAAAGGGGGGGCTATCACGATTTTCTAGCACAAGCCCACCCATCCTTGGGGGTCAAAGAGATTATCTGAAAAAAAAACTCAGGCTTCCTTTGAAACTCACAGCCATGTGGCCGTCTCCATACCTTGTCCTTGGCTATGGCCGGGGGTTGCTTCAAGACCTCTTTCACCGTCTGGATCACGGTCTCAGTTCTCATCACACTGATAGAACGAACCAACTCCACGAGCAGGAGCTGTTCTTCACTGGCCGTGGGAATGACCTGGAGAAGGTACCACACACGTTGGCCCCTTACGCCCAGCAGGGCCAAGGCCACACCACCGCATCCTTTCCCACTTTACTGGGAGTCCCTGTGTTTCTCTCTTTCAGGAACATGAGCTCAGTGGGGCTGCCTTCTCAGTAGCCACAGAAAGGACCATATCCTTAGTACTTAGGAAAGTTTCAAATGTGATTTGAGGCCATGGGCACTTAATGACCTGGATTACTTTTATGCATCCAAACAGTCCAATTCTGCTACCGTGTTTGAATTATTGAAGGGATATTCAGAATTACCAAACAAACTGTGAGTCATTATATATAAACTCCTTATTTTTTCCCCTAACAACATAATTAAACATATTGCTTTGTTTATATAGAATAAAGCTATATCAGTGCAGACAGAGGAGCAGTGCAAGTCCACAGTGCTATTCTACTTCTCTGATCAGCCTTTGGAGTAGTTTATAGCCATCTCAAAAAAACAAACAAACCCAAAAAACACCAACTTAGGTTATTGGTAGAGAGGGGGGTATTCATATACGGATACCCAGCACAGGTGGAGATAGCGAGGCACTCCTGGCAGGACAACAAGCCTCTCTGCCAGGTCCAAGAGTGGCTCAGTGATCACAGTCTCCAGAGCGACAGGACGGCAGTGCAGACCCTGCGGCATTAGTGCATCGGTGAGTAGACTGTCTGGCCCCACGGGGCCGGACCCTCGTTATCTCCACCTCTGCAGGGATATTCGTATACGAATACAAATATCCCCATCTCTAGTTATCAGTCATTCCAATGTGAATTTGTACTTGATCACCCACAAGTATGCATTGTGGAGAGGCTGGGGACATACAATAGGTGGTTAGATACGCTGAACCCCCACAATGACACCAAACTCTATCCAGGTAACACTCTACATGGCCAAGACATCTGCAGTTCCTACTCCATCTTAGCCATTAATCCAGATCAGGTATTCTGAAAAGCTTCCTCAGCTTGTCTGTAGAAAAAAGCTATTTGCAAAAGGCACAGCAGGTCAAGCTCCCAAGGGAAAAACAACAAGATTAGAGATCCTAATTATGGACAGTAAGAAGCTAAGTGGACCCTGGAAACTCAGAATATCTCCAAGTGTTCTAAAGCTATGCTATTTTTTGCCCTTTTTGGTTGTGCAGAACAGGCCGCTGGCATGAAAAGACACTCGTCCCAGAACGATAATATGGTTGGTGGTTGCCCCTCTAAATTATTGGTCCAAATATAGCTAAAAGGAAGGCCTTCACCACCACTGGTGGTGAAAAAATGCCTTCTGTGACATTCATTCCAAGGTTAGGCAACCCTGATTTTGTCTTCCTGATGCACTCTCTGCTTCCGCTACACAGAAAGCTCATATTCATGTTCCACAGATGAGGCAGCCTCCACAAAAAAAATACACCATTTCCCTGAGGAGAGGAAGCAACAAAGGCTGCCCATGTCTGGTATACAAGGATGGGAAGGGAAAAAAACTTTATAGCCAGCACCCAACCTTCATCTTAATTTGTTGGTAGAGATGGAATAGGGTAAAATGACTAGATTCTTATTTTAAAGATTACTGCTCTGTTCTTGTTCTGTCTCGAAATCAATACCAGCAAAGCACCCTGCTGCTTCATGTAACCCAGTCATTCATGTTGATCAATGCAAAAAAGGAATCACTCACATATCTGATCAGGGATCAGGCTAACATCTGCCTTCCCAGAGGCCAGGTATGTACCTGTTTAATCTTCCACCCAAAATGTCAAGCTGCAAACTAATGATCTAAACACATTTAAGAGAAATAAAATGGGAGCCTTTTATGCTAAACTACTGTACTTTCAAACAGGAGCATTCTCCAACATACCTTAGTCCTTGAAACATGTATGCTCTGTCTTCTCTCATTCCACACAAATGCAATAGCTGCCATAAAATGAACGCCATGGTTCATTGATATTGGTCCCAGTAATTCAAGAATCTGTTGCCTCAGGTTCTGAAATTCACAGAAGAATACCCTCGGTCTCAAAACATGTTTCCAGCTCCTTGCATGTTTTACAGACAACAGAAGAACATTGAGAACTGTCATGAGGTGACTGAGAAGTTGGAAGATAAAGCAGCTATGAGCGGAAGTGGAAGCAACGTTTGGGATTCTCAGTCACGACTTGAGGCAAACTTTCCTTCTATACTCTTTTCTTTTGCACACCTGCAATGCAAAAGTCTCCATAAAGAGGACTGTGTGTAGGCTGTGGGCTGCAATTTACCTGCCTCTGACTTGGTCTGATTAGGGAAAATGTTTGTGGAAATATTTCTGGACCATCAAAGCACTTGTAGCCGCACAACGGTTACAACCATGAAGGCAATGGCAGCACTTACACCTCTTAGTAGTGAACCGTTCTATAGTCAAAAAATTCTGAATTTCAAGGTTTTTGCCCCAGGTTCACTAACAATTTCACTTCCTTCAGGATCCTGTTTCTTCTGACAGTGATTTACTCTTAAGGCTACATTTCAAGAAATACACACAAACACACACACACACCCTGATGTTCTGACCTTTGTTGATCCAAGATTAATTGTGGTAACAGCCGCAGCAGCTGCAGCAGTTGTTTTCTCTGAAGAGTCGGCCTGGTACAAGATGCTCCACAGAAGCGTCACGGATGACATGATCATATGAAGGATCGACAAGATCCCACTGCGAGCTTCCAACATGTGCTTCTGATCTACATTCACCAGAAGCTAGTTTAGATAAAGAGAGGGGGAAAAATACATTATGCTCCGTGACAGTGACGTATGGGAAAGCCCTTCCCTTAACGCTTTGTCCATCTATCTATACAGGCAATTTCCCCACTTTCCCTACTTTGATTTTTCCATTTCTGTTTTTGCTTAGCATTATGTTTGCACTGAGCTAGGTAGTAGCCCTGGTTATCTATAAACCAGAATATGAAACTATGGTCAGAAAATAGTTTCGTATTTCAGAGAACGTACCTACAATGTGAACAATGGTTTTCATAGGAGAACAGATGGAAGGAAAAGGGTTCAGCAAGTGGCCCTGAATTTTCCTGATCTTGCAATACGGTCAGGTTGCCCCCCGCTTCCCTTTTATCCTTCTGCCAACAACTGAAGACACACCTTTTGGGGCAGTCTTTTCAGAATCTTGACCGTGTCTCTGAATGCCATTTCTTCGTTAAGACAGTTTTAATGTATTATGTTCTTAATCATTCAATGTATTTTAATCAATTGTATAGTTTTAAAAATGTATAATTTACTGTATGTTTAATTTTATTCTTTTTAATACTGTGAGTCCCCTTATCGGGAGAAAAGTGGCCTATAAATAAGACAAATGAATGAATGAATGAATGATCAGGAATCACTACAGTATTTGTATATCAAGGCATACTATTTCATTATGGGCTCTCTCAGTGAGTATAACAGCCTAATTTGACAATCATCAAGATAAATTGCTACATCTGCTCATTCATCTTTCAGGTGTTTTAATCTTTTGGTAAATTTCTCTGGGAAAAGGATGTTGTGCCAGTCCAATAAAGAAAAGCAGACTCCACAGATCGACAACATGAAATCTGTCATAATGCTCAGCTTTGAGGCAGAGTCTGCAGTTTGAAAGACTCATCACACCTGGTGTCTTCTGGAGAAAGCAGGCACATTCCTGGGCATTCTGGTTGGGCCTAGTTAAGATACTGCCCAGTTGAGGGTTTTCTTTTCATCCTGCAAATATAATTGTCAGGCACTGTTAAGAAAGTTGGCCACTGGCTGGTTTAGATCAGTGGGTGGAGCACCTGGCTGCCGATCTGCAGTTCATATTTCTACTATGCCTCCTGAGGGAGGGCCAGCCCAGATTACACCCAGTGATTTGATGGGCTTACATCCCCTGTCATCTGGGAGGCCTTGGACAAGCTAAAAATCCCATGGCTCATTACGTTCTTAGGAGAGTTATAACAAACGCTTGATGCTGCCGGATAATTACTACTCATAGCAGAAACAGTCTCACTGGAACTACCTGTGAGCAAGGTGCATTAGAACATAACAGAACAGGACTGATATACCTCCAGTTGACTATAACAGGGGTTTAAGTGGGAGATATTACTGGATGATTGCTCTCACAAGGACTTTTGCGAGGCCCTCTTAACTTTTATTAATCCACAGGGCAAGAATGAAACACATCCTTTAAAAAAAAACCTGTTAAAAATTACAATAAATTGTTTTAATCGGTCACTGCAGGTTGTCTTTCAAGGTTAGCTCTCTCATGGCTACTCACAACATACAAAAGACACATACAACTGCCTGGTCACACCTCTCTAAATGACAATTTTGTTCAATGGCTGTTGTCCAACCAAATTAGGTATCATAGGAAGTGCAGTGAACATAAGAGGGCTTCATGGGATACTTGATGATGCCGACTGTGCATCCTGCTTCACAGGGAAGAGGTTTTCTTCCTTTTTTGTGGCAAGGATTAAGGGGGTGAGGGGTGATAGCCTTGTCCATCATCTTGAGTACCTTGAAGGAAAGACAAGCTTGAATGTAATGCCAAGAAACAAGTGTCATAAAGGGGAGAAGATGGGATTAGGTAAAAATAGCCAGTGGTGGCGCTGCGGGCTAAACCGCAGAAGCCTTTGTGTGCTGCAGGGTCAGAAGACCAGCAGTCGTAAGATCAAATCCATGTGATGGAGTGAGCTCCCGTTGCTTTGTCCCAGCTCCTTGCCAACCTAGCAGTTCGAAAGCATGCAAATGCAAATAGATAAATAGGTACCACCTCGGTGGGAAGGTAAAACGGTGTTCCCTAGTCACGCTGGCCATGGGGCAATGGAAACTGACTTCGGACAAGCGCTGGCTCTATGGCTTGAAAACGGGATGAGCACCGCTCCCTAGAGTTGAACACGACTGGACTAAAAATGTCAAAGGCAACCTTTACCTTTACTAGCCAGTGAAATCCAATTCTCTTTGGTCCAATTTGTCTTTGGACAGTATGAAAGCAGAAATGGGTGAATCATGTGAATGTTATTCGCACAATCTTATTGTTCCAGAACAGGTTACAAAACTAGATAGCATGAAATTAATCCCTTGTTCTAAGCCACAGAATAGGAACTGGGAAATGTTATTATTACTTTATATTCTGTAGTTCCTTCCCTCCTTCATTCCGAGCTTTTATCTTGCAATGTGTTTTATCAACTTTTATCTACTGCTTGCCATGGCAAGCCTATGAAGCAGGGAAGTATTTTTCCTGACTAAGGCTGAGAAAGCCAAAGGGGCAATCCTATGAATGAGGAGGGACTGAGTCAAAGCCATTTGTTTCTCTACACACAGTTAAGTCACTGAAAGATATGCTCAGTAAATACAGTAAGTTGAAAAGAATTAATCCTCCTTTTTCCATGGAGAAAAGTGAACTGTAAATTAAAATATGTATAGAAGCCTGTCATTCCATGTTGTCACAATCAAAGGATGCCTTGCTGTGGGCCTCAGCAGTGGGGTTGTATCCCAAATTAATCCTACTGTAAAACATATATGGCAAAACAATCTGATTCACAGACTTCTTGGGTGCCTCAAAAAGTCTGCAATAACGCTCCCTTCAACTATCTCCCCTAGAGTAGAGATCATAACTGTTATGTGCCATCATATTGCTTATAGTGACCCTAACTTTTTTTTTGCATTATGCATAATGTCCAAACAGTGGTTTACCATTCTCTCTCTCTCTCTCTCGGTCACTGCAGGTTGTCTTTCAAGGTTAGCTCTCTCATGGCTACTCACAACATACAAAAGACACATACAGACACAAGCAAGAAATTGAATCCAAGTCTCCGGAGCCCTACTTTCAACACTCGAGCTGGGTCTCTCCCTAGATCATAATATCTACAAGTAAACCTAATGACTTTTTATCGTCAAGCAAGAAATTGAATCCAAGTCTCTGGAGCCCTACTTTCAACACTCGATCTGGATCTCTCCCTAGATCATAATATCTACAAGTACAGTATAGTCAATGCAATAGGGAAATAGTTTCTTTTCCCAACAATAGGCACAAATGCACTGGAAAAAAACATGACGGCTTCATCAAAATGTAGTAAGACGTAGCTACCTGATGATACTGGGCAGATGGGTCAAGTAAGCAGTAGTGAATGATGGTGGTGATGCCTTCCAAAAGAGTAAGCATCATATCTGGTGGCGTAACCGATGCCATCCAAAGGGGCCTAAAATACAATATGGAACTTGTTGCAGTTTTTTTTAAGGAACAACCGTTATAAATGCAAAAAAGAGGAAAGACAACATTTGCCAAAGAGAAAAGAGAGACACATGCCTGCTGTCAGAAAATCCTGTTTCGTATTTGTATTGCTGAATCAGGTTATCCAGGTTCCTGCAAAGTTGGAGAGTCACGGAAACCACCACCCTTTGGAGCACTTTCCCCATGTAAGGCAGCGACGCGGTGATTAGACCTATCCACTGGGGATGCATTTTACAGGCACAGTGCTGGTGTAACGCTCTTATCACGGCACAGAGAAACATGCCCTGGGAAGTTATTGGTTGAGAATGTAAATACTGAAGGGAAGTCATTGGCTGCTGGGGGTTGATGTGTTCCAGGTCAGCGATGACATACTCAAAGGTTGCCTCGTTCTCCTCAGGTACGGTCATGACTCGGTGCTCCAGGACAATGAGCCGCTGAAGGACTTTCAAGAGCTGAGACTGCAGGGTGCTGCCGTTGTCGAATTCGTCTTCAGAAAAGTTAATAAGGCTGTCTTCAGAGAAACCTTCCTCAATGGCGACTATATTTTTCCCAGCAACCTTCTCACTGTGCCACTTCTGGGCACTGAAAATTGAAGACAACAGACAGTGCAGGACCACCTTCTGGACTTTGCATTTGGACAGGATGTCTGAAATGAAGCTGGGGAAGCCCTTGGTGGAACTTTCTACCACTTTTGCCAGCTCGGCAAACAGAAGAGTCAAGATTTCAATGCTCATCATCTGCATGTTGCGGTTCCCTATCAGGTCTTGGGAGGAAACTTTCACGTGGGTTGGATAGTGGCTCCTCGTGTAGTAGAGACACAAAGAAATCAGAATCTCTATATACATGGAGCTTCGGAAATTATGATTTGAGTCCACTGGGATGTGGCTGTAAAAGTCTTTGCCCATAACCGATATGCGGTGCCTGGCCAAGAGATTCTGAAGAAGGGAGAGCTGGGGTGTGTAGGCATTGTTGACGCTGGTGGTGGAGATGGCGTTCACAAAAGCAGAAGGGTTTGTTTTCAAGATGGCTTTAATTGCAGAAAAAGCATACAGAGTTCTCGAGGAGTCATACACCTGAAGGTATAGCAAAACATGCTGGTACAAGGGATGTATGTTAAAATTTGGTGATTTCCGCATTCCCGGAGATCCGGTGTCACTCTCAATTTCTGAGATTTCCCCCTCTCCACAGCTGTACCAGTTTTCCAAGTCAAGGCCATCGCTAAAGAAAACACTGGTTTGTTTCAGTTTCTCACTCTGTGCTTTCTTCTTTTCTTCATCTTTCCTTTTGGCTATTTTGACTTTTGGCTTGGCTCCTGGCTGCTTACTGGACTCTTTCACGATAGTTTCTTTCTCTGACATTTTCTCAGGAAATTTCCCTTTGAAGCTGAACTGGATGCTGCTGTGACTCCTCTGTCTGGACTTTGCTTCTGTTGAAGTGGAATTTGGGTCACTGAGAGCCTGCTGGCTCACTGAGATGCAAGGGGAGGAATTGTTCCTGGAGATTTCATTAGAAATGCTTTCAAGTCCCGTCTCAGTTGAGACAGACAAGAGCTGAGAACTGTCATTGCTAAGCAAACTGCTCTGGCTGTCTTGAATGTTTGCATCTTCACTTTTAGTCACCTCTTCACAGGGATCCATAGCATTTAATTTAGCTGAGGTATCCTCTGGGTACAGGTAATGTGTAGATGGTTCTGTGTCCTCACCAAGTCCACTAACCACCTTGCATATCAAGTCACTGACCACCTGTTGGACTATTTCATCTGCTGAATCTCCTCTCAAATGCTGAGAACTTTCTGATGCTGTCAGGCCTTCCACCTCCACCTCATAGCTAAGGTTATCCCCAACAGATGACTGGGAACAGCCAGAGTCGGAACTCTGCATTATTTCTATCTGATGGTCAGGAAGGTCAAAATCGGAGGTAACCAGAGGAATAGTTTCACTGCTAGTACTTAACAGGGAGATCCTGTCACTCAACGGATTGACTGTAAGACTAAAGTTCTCCATTTCATCCATGACAAGCTGTTTTTCATTGTTTTCTTTAGCTGAAACATCTGGTTCTTGACTTGCTGGCATGTGGGCAAATGCTGAAACAGAAAGTATGATTAACAGGCATGAAACTTTTTCTACTTGGACTATCACTGAGGAAGTACCTGCATAAATCAAAAGAACACGCCTTTCCTGAAAAGTCTTTACATTTTTTCCCCTTCTGATAGATTAGAGATTAATATGCAGTGAAGCCCTCTCAAGATGAGTCTGCTTACACTGCTTCTTAGTAATTATCTCCAATCCAAATACCTTTGATGCAAACTATACAACTATGGTGAATATAAAAGGATTATCCAACACTGAAATGAAAGAAAATCGTCTAGCCCAAGGAGCTCTGAGGGTGCACTGGAAAGCTTTGGATCAGGGCCGAGAGTTACAACCCAATATACATATTGTTCCCAAAATAAGGGGGAAGTCCTCTGACTGTTCTTAATGGTCTACACCTACAAAACAAAGTCTTGGATCATTAAAACAGTGCCACCAGCCCCTTTGCCAGTGGTGATTTTCCAGAAAGCAATTTATTAAAAAGGTGCAGATGTTGTTCTAGATCCAGGTCCCAATTAAGTTTTCAATGGCACAGAAATTACACTTAGAAACCACACAAGGACAAAAGATAAATTAAATTTATGCTACAATGACCAGTGAGCAGAATTTTACTATTTACAGTATCTCCACTAGCGTTAACACCAGTCTAATAAATCTCAGCAGCGAATTGCTGCATGTTGCTATTGTGCAAAAATGCCTAAGCTAACTACTTTACTTACAGCAATTTGCTGATGAGATTTACACCAGCCCAAGAACACAATAGGAATTTGACTGTTATACGATAATTGTGTTTATTGTGTGTCATCAAGACAGAATCAACTTGTATCAATTCTAATAGTGTTTTCAAGGTAAGTGTGTTGAGGAATGGCTTTACCATTTCCATGCTCCAGGTACAACATCCACACCCCATATGGAAATATATTATATTATTGCAAAGGCATTAATTAAAGCCTTTTCCAGGCCTGCCTATCCCAACTTATCTCAGGACAAAACCTCCTCCTTGGAGGAGCCTTGGCTCCTTTTCAGGAGAAAAGTGGGATATAAATAAATTAAATACAGAAAGAATGTCCTACTCAACCCTGCCCCTTCACACTGGCACAGTGCTTGATCAAACCATGTCTGAGGACATGAAAGAATGTCCTACCCACCCCTGCCCCTTCACACTGGCACAGCTAGCTAGAGTGCTTGATCAAACCATGTCTGAGGACATTAAATCACATCTGGATTTATTCATGTCTGGAGCTACACAGAGGCAAAGCTCTTCATGAGCAAGAACTGTGCATAGGCTCCTTCACTCCAGATGCTTCTGTCATACCTGAAAACACTGAGGATGGGGCAACCCCGTATGTGTGCTCCTGGAGCTGAGCTTCACAGCCTAGCCCCATTCTCCTCTCACAAACAAAGTAGATCAGATTATGCCTGGCTGACAAGTACAGGCTGTTTTGCTGTTTGCCACAGTTGAAAACTCCAGCTGGTTTTATGTCTTTAACTTGGTGCTGGTGCTGGCAAGTGTGTTATTTAGGCAAATTAAATGGAACTCAAAACTGTGCATTTGGGAGATGGATTAACAAAAGAAATCATAACCCAGAGCAGCCCTTAAAAAGAGGGTTTAAGTAGACGGGTGGATTAAGTTCTTAATATATGACACTAATATACACAATACTTACAACTGTCACAGTTAAAATTCTGCACAAAAAGCTTTTCATTTCCTTCTTCAGGATAACAGGGGGATTTATTCCAATAGCACTCGGCTTGCACCCTTTGGACAGAAATGCGCTGAGTCTTTGGATGGAGAAGCAGCAGAAGCAAAGGTTCGAGGACTCTTGCAATGTCATGACGCTGGAGAACTTGATTTAGCCAGGCCTGACCAACAGACCAGGTACAACCATCTAAACTGTTAAGACTATCCAGCATAATAAATAAGGACCTAAGGAAGAAAGATCCAAATTAAAATGTATCTGATTATTACACCAGCCCTGTAGAAATGACAAGTGTTAGCACTGGTCAAAAACTTTGGCTTGAGAGTTCAGGCCCTCTCAGGAGAGACTGTTTAGAGCAGTGATTGCCAAACTTGGGTCCCCAGATACTCTTGGACTAAAACTCCCAGAAGCCTTCACCATTAGCCGTGCTGGCCAGGATTTCTGGGAGTTGCAGTCCAAGAACATCTGGGGACCCAAAGTAGGCAAACCACTGGTTTAGAGGAAAGCTCACACCAGCAAACATCAGGTCAAAAGTCTGGCCAGCTATTTCATTTACTGCAAAATGAGAAGTCTCTGCTAAGGTCCTCATGATGATGCAGGTGCCCTGAGTTTCATCACTTCCTGACTCCTAAGTCAGAAGCTGAAAGTGGCATCTCTCGGGCCATGTTTCTCAGGGATTCTAACAAATGTGTGTGGGGCCCAGACAAATCTTGTAGATTCCAAGTTTTCCATTCTGGATTTGAACCATTAGTCAAAAGCACAAGACTACTGATTTACAAAGCCATCAAAAGCAAATTTTAAAAAAATTGAAACAAATTTAGACTATTAGACTCTTCCACTGTTCCCTGCACTTACTTATTTCCATCTATCCTTGCATGCTACATAAGGAAAGCTGGGGTAAAACACAGCAGGCTTCTCAACATTACAATGTATAAGCACTGTTTCTACTGTTAAAATGAAAGTTTGAAGATTCCGAATATTTTTTGCAATGAAGCTAACCATGAATCTAACCAACCTGTCAAAGGAACGTCCATAGGATGAGGACTTGTTAATATGGAGGTCTCTGGTAAGATGCCAGAGGACTGCAAATTTTGAATGTGCTTCCATCCTAATTTTCTGCAGAATAAAAATGACAGATTAGCTCATACTTAACATTATCATTTTTTTTCCTGGAAAAAATAGTTTTAAAAAATTAATAGTGATCACAGTCATAATCATAATCTAAAGCAGAGCAAAAGTAAGCAAACAGAAAAATCAAATAAAGAAATCATTTAAGTCATTAGATTTTGATTCTGTTCTACCTTTTTAAAAAAATTTATCACAAGTCTAGATTCTGACAGCAACATATCTGATCATTTATAACTGTTGCCTCAGCTATTACCCTTGACAGCTGTTAGCCATAAAAAACATCTACAGACAAACAATTAGGTAGCATCACCATTGTGATAAGAAATCATTTAAGTCATTAGATTTTGATTCTGTTCTACCTTTTAAAAATTTTTTTATCACAAGTCTAGATTCTGAGAGCAACATATCTGATCATTTATAACTGTTGCCTCAGCTATTACCCTTGACAGCTGTTAGCCATAAAAAAAAAAATCTACAGGCAAACAATTAGGTAGCATCACCATTGTGATGGCATGCAGTTATTACACAAAATAATTTGGCAAGCTCCTTTTATGAGATACATTTCTACAGAGTTGTAATTGAGACATGGCATATGGTTCCCCAAGCACAGAGTAAAAGCAACTTACATTACTAAGGCAGTTTATATTACTATTGTGTGATGAAACTAAAAATCTACAGGCAAACAATTAGGTAGCATCACCATTGTGATGGCATGCAGTTATTACACAAAATAATTTGGCAAGCTCCTTTTATGAGATACATTTCTACAGAGTTGTAATTGAGACATGGCATATGGTTCCCCAAGCACAGAGTAAAAGCAACTTACATTACTAAGGCAGTTTATATTACTATTGTGTGATGAAACTAATAAAAACAAAGCATGTGACTTGACAGCACATAATGACAGCAAAGAAAGAAAAAAAATATTTTATTATGTTAATTATTTTAACTCTCCTGCCTTGGAAAGGTACATGAATTTTATTGTGAATTCATACAGTGCAGATGTTTTTCTGAAATCTAGTATCTGCAACACAGGCCAGAATGCTACGGGTATAGCACCACTAACAGAAATTTCAGATTCCATTTGCTGCAAGTTAAGAAGGCAGAATAGCCGAAAAGAACTGATGGTAGTAGTAGTGATCGGTGAATGTGAATTTTTGAAGTACAGGCAATGGGCAGCAACACTAGTGGAATGTAACACTGCCAGGAGATATTTCATAAACAATGACAGTGACACTCAGGCTAATTTTGTCAGTACTGCACAGAAGAAGGCAAGAGGAAAATACTTCTGAATAACTTTAAAATTGGTCATGGGACAATCCAAAATGAAAAAAAGAGATAATGCTGGAAGATGAGAACCCCAGGCCAAAAAAACACTCTATCAGCTCCTGAGGTAGAGCTGAAGAGAAAAACATATAGCATTGCTCCTAATGAAGCAACCAGATTAGAGCTGAAAGGTCATCCAGTTGTTTATGTGCACAGATGCAAAAGAGAGGTTCAAAGTTTCGTGATGCATATAATTACAGTGGGGTCTTGACTTGAGAACTTAATCCGTATTGGAAGGCGGTTCTCAAGTCAAAAAGTCTGTAAGTCAAGTCTCCATTGACAAAAGAGAGGAGTTTCATGATGCATATAATTATGCATACAATTAGAACACCGAATGTGAGAAGTATTAATCAAAATTGTGAAACAAGAAATGAAAATTTAAACAAAGGTTTGGGCAATGGGAAGTGGTATGGAACAGGGCAATAGGGTTTTCAATCAGACCATTAAAGCATTTTACTCTGAAAATGACAAACTCAACAGCAATTAGAACACCAAATATGAGAAGTATTAATCAAAACTGTGAAACAAGAAATGAAAATTTAAACAAAGGTTTGGGCAATGGGAAGTGGTATGGAACAGGGCAATAGGGTTTTCAATCAGACCATTAAAGCATTTTACTCTGAAAATGACAAACTCAACAGAAATGGTGATGCAAGATGTGGTAGAAGCAGCTAGGGGCTATAATGCGAAGTTTGTCTCAATAACAACAATCAAACTCAAGAGAATAAGGATCGTTCAAGTCCATGCTCCAGAAGAAAAATAATTTGAAGGTTTTAGGCACATAGAAATGGGATCTGCTGATACTGGATTACCAGAGTGGTCGTTCGACTAGATAGGCGGGGTATAAATAAATAAATAAATGGGACTGGAAAGCAGGACCTAAAGCAGAACCAAACACTGTCACAGATTTTGGCCTAGGAGTCAGAAATGAGACAGGAGAGCAACACATGGAATTCTGTGAAGCCCACAATTTGCTTATTAAAAATATATGCTTCAGGCAACCAAACAAATGATTGTTGGTTTGGGCTAAACTTTTTTTTTTGGGGGGGGGAGTTCTTTTCTAAGTAAGAGCATTCAGGATTGCAGCCTGAGATGCTGTTCATGGAAATGAACCATTTTACTCAAATTGGAGATACATTATTTTATATGAACAATGAGTTTGTGATGCACAAAATATATCAGGTTTTATAAATAGCACACAGAAGCATAATCACATCTTATTTGGACTGCAGAAGAAAAAGCAAGAGAGAGAAGGAGCAGAGCAGAGCTTGTTATCTATTCATTTAGTGCCATTTGAGAGGCTAAGCTAACGAGGGCAGCGGAAATTGCCAGCTTGGTTGCAAAGCATTGCACTGGAAAGAAAGTAAAAATGGAGAAAGCTGTTACAAAGGGACCCGTTTGTTGTCCTTTCTAATTAAGGCACTACTGTGAGCATGCTGCCCGCATTAAAAAAAAAAAAATCTCACTGCTCACCACCATCTCCACCATGATTGCTCCTACAGCTTGCATTTTTACCTGCAAAATCTGCAATGGCAATATATGACCCTAAAATGCTTGCTGTCACCCTGGCCCACTTCCACTGTGCAGCAAAGAGCAAAAGTAGTATGATGAGGAATTTACCTTGTCTCTGTGGGTCAACTGCTGACTGATAACATCCTCGCAAATGCTAGATGATGGAACGAGATTGTGCAACTGGAAAAAAAGCTCCACGCTCTTCTGGTGATGCTGAGGTGTGCCATCACCCAACTGGTCCCACAGAGTTAAGGCCACATGCTTTGGAAAGGAATATAAGATAATCATGCACATACAGCCCATGGTTGTATTTTCTGAAAGAATCTGCCTTATCTGAGTGACCAGCTAGACACTAGAACTTGGGCTCAGAGGGATGGAAAAGTTGGAAAATATTTAGGCTGGGAACCAGGGATACTCAACCATGTTGCTGCAAAGCAGAAAGGCAATCCTCTTCTGTCATACGACTCTTAATTCCACACAACCACAACCTACAGCATTTCACAGGTCTTTGAGCTCTCCATAGTAGTGGGGATATATAAGCCCCAGAAAGAAAATACAGGAAAAGTATAACAAGTTTAATTTTGGGGCAAACTAGCTGAAAATACCAGTATTTTCCCTGCAGAAATGTACACTGAGTTTCTAGCTGAAATGTCATAGGAATATATTGTTGGTTTTAGGTAGTCATTCCTTTACACTGGAAATTTCTGATAAAGCCGTACATAACAACCAAGATATCCTAACAGGGATACATCTGATAATGGACCATTAAAACAAAACCACATCACAGATGACAGGGAGAACAGTCATTATTTTGAAGGAACAAGCAGTTCAAGAGCCTCGTGGCGCAGTGGTTAAAACGCTGTACTGCAGCTAAAACTGTGCTCACGACCTGGGGTTCAAATCCCAGGTAGCCGGCTCAAGGTTAAGGGAGAACAGTCACTATTTTGAAGGAACAAGCAGTTCAAATAGATGGGTGCTAATGTGATCTCTGTATAGGTGAAATCCAATGTTGCAGGAAGAGATATCTATACAATGCCCTCTTTGGGCCCTGCAGCCGTCTATAAACTTCCCTATATGTGCGCCAAATAATCATCCAGTCCCTTTGGAGCGGTTGTGGAGGGTATGTGAAAGTCTGCCAGGGCAAGGGGGTGGGAGCAGGAATTGCCCCTTCCCTCTTTAATGTGATCTCTGTATGGTTGAAATCCAATGTTGCAGGAAGAGATATCTATACAATGCCCTCTTTGGGCCCTGCAGCCGTCTATAAACTTCCCTATATGTGCGCCAAATAATCATCCAGTCCCTTTGGAGCGGTTGTGGAGGGTATGTGAAAGTCTGCCAGGGCAAGGGGGTGGGAGCAGGAATTGCCCCTTCCCTCTTCCACTGACAAATCATTCTGTCAGTGGGAGGGGTGTATTTTCATGTTTGTTTTAATAATTAACTAAATATTATATGTTAGGAAAAAAGGAGATCCTGAAACAGTTTCTGGAATCCAGTAGTTCAGCAGTATGTTTTAAACATTAAATATTTTGAATGATTTTTTAAAAATTAAATATTTATTCCCCCCCACAATTAAATATTTGAACATTTTTTTTTCTAATTTAAATGTTTGAAGTCCCTGTTACCTTTCGAATCTGCCTTCTATGGTTTCTCCAGGGAAATCAAATAACTTGGAATGAAGACAGAACTTAGAATGTAGACGTTGAAAACACAGTCCTCTAAAAGCTGTGCATCTTTATGACTACAGAAGCAATGCGAAAGTACCTTGAAAAAATCAGTCTTTTCAGCCATGTATCGGAGGTTGCCTTGATTCAGAGGAGGTCTGATGACTACAGCCACTCTTCCCTGGTTTGGACTAAGAGGTTGTGCTGCTTCCACACTATTAGGATTCTCTCCGGTGACAACTGCAACTGACTGAGTCAATCCAACTAAGTCCATTATTAAAGAAATAGTGACACCTTGAATGCTAAAATCATTTGCATGTCTGCAAGCACTCATAAGAGTCTGGAGCCATAAAGGGGGCTGCTCTTGCTCATAATCTGAAAGAGGGAGAAAACACAATCACATTAAAAAAAAAAAACAAACACAGTTTTTATAACTGAAAGTTATTATTCTACTCGTTCTTGCTTATGTGCTACGCTGAGAGATTAAGCCATAAAAGAAACAGTTTACTTTCCTTCAGGTTTTCTTTGGGGGGGTGTGTGGAATTGAAATAGAGGCAGTATTTGTGGTCGTATTAAAGCCAAGCATTTTATTGCTTTAGCAACATAAAATATTTTGTTGCCCGGAAATCTGCAAACAAGGACCTCCTGCATGCATCTCTCCTCAAGAAACTAGGATCCACTGAATGCTAAAATGCACCCTACATTTGTGTGTTGTTTACATTCACAGTATACACAGAAATTATTATTCTTTAATTCTGTCTTATATTGAAATTGGGATGAACAAAGTGCAGCTTGCAGGTCACTTACCGCCCAAGCCTTTTTTTTTTTGCATCCCCCAGACCTTCCAGAAATATTATTTTAAAAAAACAGCTGAAAATTGGCAATGTAGATTCCCAGACACTTTCCCAGCTTTGCAGTAGTAATTTTGAGTTCAACTGATCTTACTTTAACTTATTTAGAAATTTGAAATAGTTTACTGTTTTGCTTGTTACTTAAAATTGCATTTCTGTGCTTTAATTGTCTTATTTATATAAGGAAGTCTTTAATAGCTGTATTTACTTCCTGAAATATGACTTCCTTCCATGTTCCAGATTTACTGGAGAAAGTTCCTTATTTCTCAGTGGTTGGGAACTGTTTAGGCATCTGAGAACCACAGAGTTACTGGAGAACTTGATGCCATGAAATGACTAGAATACCCCGCAACAAAACCTTAATAACTCAAGATAAGGGTTTATTAGCCACAGAGAGTGACTGAGTTTCAGCAATTATTATGTAAAGCATGAGAACCTAAAAATACCCTAAGAACACTAGCATACTTTTGATGCAACTTATTGTCATACTGAACTCTTGACATATATTAATGTGCTAAATGCATATCTATCAGAATGCCTTTTAACCAAGTCCCCAAATTAAGACCAGCATGCCCCCCCCCTCTCTCTCACACACACACAGACACAAACACACACACCTTTTAACCAGGAAGCAGTTTCATTTACAGAACGGGTCTTAAAGACAACTTAGCAGGGGGAGAATGAAAACGTAACAGATCGCTCACCAGTATCTATCTTCTCGGAATGTATTTCTGAGGTGTGGTTTCCCTCTGCAATGTAAACTGGAAAACTGGAACATTCAAGGAAGAGCTGACACGCAGCAATAAAGGAAGAAAGGTATTCTTTTGGCGATGTCTTCTTAGTTATTTTCTTGCCTTTAGCTCCGTCTCCTTGAGACTCTCTTGCACATTGGACAGCGTCCCCTTTCCCTTTATGGAGTTCCTCCTGAGGCTCTGCTGCCGCTGGCCGAGAAACTGAATGGCTAGGAATGATGTATAGGTTGATAAATCTGGTTAAAAACTGCTGGACATACTCCAAACAGCACTGCATTGCAGTCTTTTGAATGGTGACTGTCTTCCCACTTCGAGAGCCTGTCCCCTGGGTCGTCTTGGGAGAAGGCTGCACAAGGGTTTCTTCTGAACCCACTGTGGAGGCCGTCTCGGTCTCCGAGGAGGCGCTGCCAAGGATGGGGATGCCGATGGCTCCTGGACCTCCGCTCAACATCCGGTCAATGTCATCCATGGTATCTGCTTGGTACTGGACAAACTCCGTAAAGCCACTTTCAGAGGACCGACTGCTGGGAGGATTTTCACCATCTTCAAACACATCACCGGGATTTTCTATAGAAACCAGTGGCATCTAATTGAGACAGAGGAAGGAAGCCACAGGCATGGAAAAGAACAGAGTGTGAGGCACAGAATTTTGTACATTCAATGATGTTGTTCTGCTTTTACTAGCTACATATTTGACCACAATTTGCTTGAACACTGCTTACCATGCTTGCTTAAAAGTTTAAAACTTATGATCATTAAAAACAAAACACCTCTTTCTTTGAAGGGATATTTTTGAAACCACCCGGGTTGCATAAAACACTGTGGCAGAATTTCTCCAAATTATTAAATTCTCGATGGATCCAAACCTACTGAAATCAAGGAGATGCAAGTCAACAAAGGCTAATTTAAATACCTACCATTAGGAATGTCTAAATCCCAATCAGATTTGGTGAGTTTGAGAAGTATGCCTCATTCCACCTGTGACGTCACTCCAGAAATGTTACAGTTTCATTTAATGGATTTGGGTGTCACAATATACCGTATTAACTCTAAAATCAAGCATGTCTGGTAGGGGGAAAAACATGTCCAATAAATATGAGTCTCCCCAACTCCATTCACAACCAGTTCTTATTTATTTGTTTGTTTGTTTGTTTGTTTGTTTAATATGCTGCCCATCTAGAACAGGTCTACTCTGGGAGGTTTACATATAATATTAAACCAAGGTAAAATCCAGATTAATCAAAGATGGGAAAGGAAAAAAGGAAAGAGGGAAAAAAAGAAGAGGAAGAAGAAAAAGGAGAGAAAAGAAAAAAGAAGAAAAGGGGAGATAGGCTAGGTAATGGCTTTAGGGAAGGCCTGCCTGTATAGCCATGACTTCTAGTCTTGAAGGCCCTCAGCGAGGGAGCCAGGCAGATCTCAGCAGGTAATTTGTTCCAAAGCTGAGGGGCCACTGCTGAGAAGGCCCAATTTCTGTTTTTTCCCCCCCAAGCCTCTCTTGGCGTTAGGCCCCTCAGACACCCAGCCTGACTGGAGCGGGTGATACAGGTAGAACTGGGTGGAAGAAGGCGCTCTGCCGGGTATCAAGGTCCTAAACCGTTAAGGGTTAACCATATGTAATGGTTAACACATTGAAATCATTGAGGAAGTGAATACGTACCGTATATGCCGGCATACAAGATGACTTTTGGGGCCCAAAAAACATGCCTCCAAGTGGGGGGGGGTCGTCTTGTATGCCTGGTGCACTTCATTTGGGCCAGGAAGGAGCGCCGCTGCCGCCGTCAAGTGAGTGACGTGGGGCCACACTGGCCGGGGAGGAAGGCAGGCGGGCAGGCAGGCAGGCAGGCAGGCAGTCGGTCTGGATGGAGGGAGGGAAGCACAGCCTGCCATGCCTGAGCGCCCAGATCCTGCCACCAGGCTGCCCGCTCCCCCGCACCGTTGAGCCAGCTGCGCGCTCACTCACCTGCCCCCGCCCGTTTCCCTTTTCCTCCTCCTCAGCCTCTTGCCTTCCTCTCCCTCTCGCTGCCTAGCCAGCGCGCTCGCTCGCCCACCCCCTGCCCATTTCCCTTTTCCTCCTCCTCCTCAGCCTCTTCTTCCTCTCCCTATCGCTGCCTAGCCAGCACGCTCGCTCACCCGCCCCCCGCCTGTTTCCCTTTTCCTCCTCCTCAGCCTCTTCTTCCTCTCCCTATCGCTGCCTAGCCAGCACGCTCGCTCACCCGCCCCCCGCCTGTTTCCCTTTTCCTCCTCCTCAGCCTCTTCTTCCTCTCCCTATCGCTGCCTAGCCAGCACGCTCGCTCACCCGCCCCCCGCCTGTTTCCCTTTTCCTCCTCCTCAGCCTCTTCTTCCTCTCCCTATCGCTGCCTAGCCAGCACGCTCGCTCACCCGCCCCCCGCCTGTTTCCCTTTTCCTCCTCCTCAGCCTCTTCTTCCTCTCCCTATCGCTGCCTAGCCAGCACGCTCGCTCACCCGCCCCCCGCCTGTTTCCCTTTTCCTCCTCCTCAGCCTCTTCTTCCTCTCCCTATCGCTGCCTAGCCAGCACGCTCGCTCACCCGCCCCCCGCCTGTTTCCCTTTTCCTCCTCCTCAGCCTCTTCTTCCTCTCCCTATCGCTGCCTAGCCAGCACGCTCGCTCACCCGCCCCCCGCCTGTTTCCCTTTTCCTCCTCCTCAGCCTCTTCTTCCTCTCCCTATCGCTGCCTAGCCAGCACGCTCGCTCACCCGCCCCCCGCCTGTTTCCCTTTTCCTCCTCCTCAGCCTCTTCTTCCTCTCCCTATCGCTGCCTAGCCAGCACGCTCGCTCACCCGCCCCCCGCCTGTTTCCCTTTTCCTCCTCCTCAGCCTCTTCTTCCTCTCCCTATCGCTGCCTAGCCAGCACGCTCGCTCACCCGCCCCCCGCCTGTTTCCCTTTTCCTCCTCCTCAGCCTCTTCTTCCTCTCCCTATCGCTGCCTAGCCAGCACGCTCGCTCACCCGCCCCCCGCCTGTTTCCCTTTTCCTCCTCCTCAGCCTCTTCTTCCTCTCCCTATCGCTGCCTAGCCAGCACGCTCGCTCACCCGCCCCCCGCCTGTTTCCCTTTTCCTCCTCCTCAGCCTCTTCTTCCTCTCCCTATCGCTGCCTAGCCAGCACGCTCGCTCACCCGCCCCCCGCCTGTTTCCCTTTTCCTCCTCCTCAGCCTCTTCTTCCTCTCCCTATCGCTGCCAGAGAGGGCATTTAGATTGTGTCTATAGCCCTGGCGGTGCCATATCAGACATCCATCAGGGCCTCGACAGGAGCACCAGCCAGGTGAGTCAGAATCCCACGCATGGCATCCTGGAATCTAATAGGATCCAGTAGTCTGTGAGGGTGGACCATGAAAATAGGTCTCTGTTCCCCATGGGGAGGGAGGACCATTGTGAGACTGCACTTTATCAGGTGATGATCCGACCACGACAAGGGGACCAAACGAAGGTCAGTCACCATCGGGCAACACTCTCTCTGCTCAGTGGAGAAAACCAGGTCCAAAGTGTGGCCACCCACGTGTGTGGGGCTGTTAATGTGTTGGGACATGTCCAAGGAAGACATGGTTTCCAAGAACTCAAGAGCCAGACCAGTAACCTCTGCCTCCGCATGGATGTTGAAATCGCCCAAGACAATCACTCTCGGGGATCCCAATAGAGCCGCAGAGATGAAGTTGGTTAGCTCCTGTAGGGAGGTGGCTGGATCGAGGGAGCATGGTATACCAGCAAGATCCTAATACCATCCCTGGTCCAATCGACACATGGAGGGCCTCTAGGCCTTCTTGAACATCATGGAATCCTGACACCAAACAGGCAGGACTACAGGCTAAAGAAAGTGTCCACCAGGTAATACTATTCATATCGCTTTAATTTGGCTTACAAAGACTGTTCCTTGTGGTTTAACTAAATTCTCAATCCCAACTCTGTTAGAGGCAGGTCATGCTCCTGGGCATTCTTAGCTCCCCCAGCCAAAAAGAAATTCTTTGATTTTCAAAAAGGCAGAGAAGGGGAACTGGGGGTGAGGGCAGATTGCCATTCTGTCCTCTGTTTTAAGAGATGTACCATAAATCCCAAACTGCTAGCTGGGAAGGAGCATGAAAACAACTTGCACACTGCACTAGCACCATCTAAGAAGCGAACCTGGCTTCAACATCATCTGCCATGTGGATTTGCGACATTCAAAACAGCATATAAGTTGGAACTACCCACAAGAACTTGATACACAGCCTTGAAGAAGATGTCTTATCATTGAAAGCATGCTGTTTGTTTTTGTTTGTTTCATATTCTTAATGGTCAATTAAAGATAGCACTTACACACACACACACACACACACACACACACACACACACACACACACACCTCCTAT